AGCAGCAGCAGCAGCAGCAACAACAACAACAACAACAACAGCCACATCAACAACAACAATAGCTCACATCGACACAATAACGACAGTTTAGTGCTGGGAAAAAGAAAGACAGACAGAAATAAAGAAGGGAAAGTAAATAAATGGGACCTACCAGTGGCGCCCTCCAAACAACAACAACTACAACTACTGCCGCAATTGCACTAAAAGTAACAACAACAACAACAACAACAACAACAACTATGGTAACAACAACAGCTACAACAACAACAACAACAACAACTGCAGTATCAATAACAACAACAACTGCAGCAGCAATAACAACAACGACGACAACAACAACAACAACAACAATTACAACATTAACAACAACAACTGCAGCAGCAATAACAACAACAACAACAACAGCAACAACAATCATTTCATCATCAAAAAGAAAACAGCAGTTTCCACAACACAAGACACACCACCAGGCACAAGAATAAAGGAACGACTCCCCGACAGACCAGATAACACACTATCAAGGCAGCAGACAACACATTCACCCCACGGGATGTGCACAACACGCAGTTTTATCGAAATCGAAAAATGTTCCTACTTTTCTACTTTCGACGCACAGTTTTCGATTTCAACAAATCGCGACCTCAGTGCTTTTGTCCTATCTCCATTTTTGTATCATTTAAAATATGACTTCTTAAACTCACTCAGTTTTTAAAAAAATTTAGTAAGAGTTTTAGTAGTTTTAGTAAGAGTTTTACGGCACTTGAAACAATAAGGTCATATAAGTGCCGAAGATTAGAGGCGTTACAAGAGAGTAACAAACACAAAAAAGAAGGAGGGGAGATCAGGACGATAGGCGTTTGGTAGGAAAAAAGGAGCAAACCACATAGGAGCACCCGCCAACCACCACCAAACTCACTCTTTGTTAATATAAAATTAAATTGTTTTCACTGTTATCAAAAATGGAGATGGGACAAGAAAGCTTTGGGGTCGTGAAATGTGTCGAGGCATGGTGGAATCAGGCGCTCGTAAACGTTTGGCTAGATGGAGCTACTGGTCTCATCTCTTAGTTTTAGTAAGAGTTTTAATTTTAGTTTTAGTTGAGGTTTTACGACGCTCGCAACTGCATAAAGTCAAATGAGCGCTAGAAGATTAGAGGTGTTACAAGAGAGTAACAAACATAAAAAAGAAGAAGGGGAAATAAGGAAGATAGATTTTTCATAGGAAAGAAGAAGTAAACCACACTAGAGCACCCTCTAACCACCTACTAGTAAGAGTTTTACGGCACTTGCAACACAATAAGGTTATATAAGAATAGATGTGTTACAAGAGAGAAACATGCACATGTTGGATGGTTTGTTCGACTTCCTGACTTTGACAAGCGCCCGATTTCACCAGCCTGGCACAGACTGAGTGGACATTGCACGTGAGCGGATATCGGAAATCACATTGAATGGACATCAAACTGAGTGAACATGCTGTAAACAAAAACACCAGAACCCGAGAAAAAAAAAAAACCCACAAGGCAGACCCGTGGATGCTGAACTGCGAGCCATGCATGCTGGGAGGAGTACTCACCTGTCTTTTGAGCTGGCCGCGGGGAGCGAGAAAAACATGTCAACTAGTTGGTCATAGGGAAAGGTGTGAGTGTGAGTGAGTAAGTGTGTGTGGGTGTGTGTGAGTGTGTGTGTGTGGG